TTAAATGTACCCGGTCAATATGCGAATCATCAACAAAACGGACGCGATTCTATAATATATAAAATCATTCAAAACTGGACAGTGAACCTCGCTACCATCAGTTGACTGGACAATCTCTACACTACACGAGTCGCTGTTTACATGTCAACATTAGCTCATGACGATACCAGCGTACGTGTGTCACTGGACCTCGCTACCATAACAATTAACTGAATAATCTCTATATTATGAGTTGCAGTAAAGATTCACAATAAAATACAGTTTCATGGACTTGGACGAGATATAAATAATTAAAATATAATTAAAAATGGCGTGTCTTGGCGTTGTTTAAATTCGCTATAATATCTATTTTCTAAATACTAATAATAATATAGCTTATTTCTAAATAATTATTTTGCCTGACTATTTCGTATTTGTCGCTTATTAACCGGGTTTTAGTATTACAATTATATTATTATAATATGTTGTATATGTTTTAATAAATATATTTTATTATTATTATTATTATATATGTATATTACAAAGTTTCCCAAATTATTACTACGATACACTTTCAGCTCGAGGCTCTTGTACTAACATTTATTTTTATTGATTTAGTTAAATATTATTTTTAAAGTGTAATTTTTAAAGTTGTATAGTTGTTTATTTCGTCGTCGTGGTGGTCCGGAGGTTTAAGACGCCCGCTTCTCATGCATGAGGGTGCGGGTTCGAAACCTATCAACGGCAAGTACCAATGTGACTTTTTCCGAGTTATATGTACTTTCTAAGATTATTTACACCGCTGACAAACGGTGAAGGAAAACATCGTGAGGAAACCTGGATTTTTAATTTCTAATTGTAAGTCTGTAATCGCCAACTCGCATTGAGCAAGCGTGGTGATTAATGCTCAAACCTTTTCCGTGTGAAAAAAGGCTTTGCTCAGCAGTGGGCATTTATAGGCTGTTGATGATGATGAGTTGTATATTTCATTGGCCGTAAGCATGGAAGATACTTGAGTAGATATATTTTAATCGATTTGTGGAAATAAACCGTAGGTAAGTCTTGAGTAACTTTGAAAGAGTGTGATGTACCTATGTGATGTAAGAAGCGATGCGCCTAATATAGTATTTTAAACTATACCGTTATCTATGAGTAAAATAACATAAATATTAAAGGGAACAAGACATAAACAAACATAACATCACGCCTTTTATGCTTAAAGGAGTAGGTAGAGGTGTACACTACGGCACTTAATGCCACTGTACAATGTAACATTAACTTTTCACTGTTTATGTTATGAGTCGGGGTGGGGGTGAGTCTACTGCCATATACCGGGCACAATTCCAGACTCCGTGCTACTATTGAGATTTTTTGAAAAAGCCCAGTAATACTTTGCCCGACCCGGGAATCGAACCCGAGGGCAGTCGCAATTGCGACCACTCGGCCAACGAGGCAGAACAAGACTGTTACTTATTTTTTCAATACAACTTTAAAAATTACAATACATCTAAAACACTACTTGTCTAATTACAATAAAAACATACACTACATTAAAAATAATAATAACTCATTTGTCAATCTGATTACATGACAAATTATTTAAAACACACATTTGTGATAGGGACCCAAATCCAGCTATTGCCGTAGATATAAAGAAAATTAATCAAATATGAATGATTGTAATTCTAGTCAACAATAACTTTACTACAAACGATTAAATACAGCTACAATTATTTATTATTTTACTATTAATACCTTAGAATTTCATAAATCACTACTAATGATTAAATGTATTATTAATAATGTATAATATTCGTTGAATGTAGTATTATATGTATAAATAATATTATTATATGTCTATATATATTAATAAATATACCTACGATGAAGCATGATTCAATTTTTAAATAGATTATAATGTATTTGATATTATTATTGTGTTCGAATAAATATTTTAGAACTACCTTTAAATGTCTAATATTGGAAGAAATTGTGATTATAATAATGAATATTTCATTTATTATTATTACAAATGCGACTATTTAAGCAATAAATTGAAATGACATAATTAAGATATTTTTATTTATTAATTCAACAGCTACAATGAATTTTCTTTACGATATTTTTTTTATTAATTATATAAATTAATTATTATTATTCGAAACGAATGAAACGGACGTATTTCAACATTTTTTACAAATTAATTGTGCAGCCATACACAATATTCTTTGAGTGTGTCGTAGATTTATATGAGGTATTGTTGAGCTTAGTTTGTTTCTGATGTTGATTGAGCTGACTTCTATGATGCTTAAGGAAGCCATACACGCTAGGTTATGCATGATGGTTATAACTTTGCATGAAAAACCAACAAGCATAACCGAGTACCGATGCACCGATAACTGTACAATTTAGTCACATACACGCTAGGGCTTGCCTGTCGATTATGCATGCACGGCATGCACGGCTAAAACCATCATGCAAAACCTTGCGTGTATGGCCTCCTTAAGAAAAATTGTTTAACAGTGTGATGACGGTAGGATTTTTTACCAATCCTAACACTTGATACAGTTGTCCTAAGATCCGAGAAAGGGACACCACATTTGCCAGAAATTGGGCAGTTATGCTTTCTAATAAGCCTGGATGTTTTTGAGAATTTAGCCTGGAAAAGTACCTAATTTAACCATTCCATAACTGAATACAAAAGACTGTTCGAATATAAAAAAGTACGGAAAGATTTTGTTCTGATTAGATGGGGTTCAACTTTGTTCAAGTCAATATTAAGCCTCATATCCGCTAGATAACAATTGATACGCAACACGTGATGCTTAACATGTTCCGCAACGCTTCAATGCAACATACAGCTTAGCATCAAATAGTTTTTAGGTAGAGACGTGACGCGCAACAAATGAATGTCGCTCAAATCAATACTATTTCCATGTTGTCGAATGTTGCGAGTAGCGAAGATAGAGCAACATGTTATACAGCGTGTCTCGTGCCAAACGTTGCCTAGTAGATTGGAGGCTTTAATATTTTTAAAGACACAAATGAAGAAACGTGTCCATCGCATTCAATAATTTAAGAAATTTCTACTTTCAAACATGGTTATAATTTATATGTAATATGAATTTCTAGTGACATTCTAATATGATTAAACATGACTACTGTTATGTATATTTGAGTAATATATATATATACTTTAATAATGATTAAATATTTTCTGGATATGTTTACATCCATTATTTGAGGGAATGTAAACAGTCTATATATTTTTATGAGTTATAATTTATTTATTAATGCGATGCAATGAAAATAAAATAAATATAGTTCATGAAATGTAATTTTAACATTTTATATGCAATGATTAACATTTATATCTAATAAATTGTTATGTATAATATTTACAACCATTCATATTCGCAATTATAACAATAAATATGTAAATAAATTAAATGATTATCGATACACAAAATATCTTAAATTATGCTAATTTTTACTATAATATATTTTATGCTAAATTGAAGCCAAACATTTGGTTATGTAATGTACAATTAATTTTACTAATTTTAATCTACTATAGATACTGTAAGATTTACCGATAATGGACACATAAATAAATGTTATGTATTATGGAAATGTATTTTTAATTATTGGTCTTAAATTATATTTAACATCACGCCTTTTAATCCCCAACAGGTTAGGCAGAGGCGTGGTAATGTGATACTTTCTTATCACCAGTTATGACTTATGAGTCCCATGTTTTTGGTGGTTTTATTATTTAGGAAATATTCTTGATATTATTATTATGTATGTCTTTACCATTCACGGGACCACAGGGTCCCGGTCATTTGGGAGGCGTACGAGGCGCCGAAGCCAACTGCGCAGAGGCCCTTTAGACAAATTTCATCCAAATGTAATGGAGACACAAACCGGCCACTATCCCTATATGCACTATGGAAATGCACCCAAGGACAGTCCCCGGTTAGTGTAGGACTATTATGGGTAATGGAAAAAAAGATAATATTATTATTATTTCCGTACCGGTAATTCTTAACAGTAAATACAATTTATATTTATACAATAACTTCTAAAATAAGCAATATTATTGTGATATATATTGTCATTAAAATCATTATTATTGCATTATTTACAAGAATTATTATTAAGCTCATAATTCATATGATAATAAAATGAATTTCTACGTCTCTTTGGTCCGACATCCAATAAAATGTGTTATTACTTTTATTTTTTATATATTATTGTCAAAATTAAAATATTTAACCTTTTTAGGTGTATATTTAGACCAAAAATATAGATTAATTTTGATGTCTAGAAGAAATGTCATGGTGTAAAACCATCGGTCGATTGATCGACAGCGTTGTACAGCTTCGCATGTGACGTTGTTATCTAGCAGTATGATATTTGATATATAACATTTTCCAAATGTCATTCATTGAACATGAATAAGTACCACTCGTCAACACATGTTATTGACGACTATTGCGAGCGACATCTTGTGTAGATGGAACAACGTTGTTGTTTAATAACTTTTAAAATGTTTATTAACATTCAAAGCAAAATGTTGCGTATCAAATGTTGTCTAATATCTTCTATACACAGTACACATTTGACACAATATATGTTAACAACTCAGACAATCCATCTAGACAGTAAATAATCTAAGAAATATGGCAGATTGATTATAAACTACCATTTTTCTGCTATAAAATTGTCAAAACGATTATTTTTCTATAACATTAATTAAGTAATATTGTCTTGAATACATTTTTTATATATGAAAGAAATATTGTCAAAGTCACCTTTGCAAAATTAAATATTAGGTATATATATATTACATAATAATATAATATATTAAAATTGTATAATTTATATATTATCATTGTGTAAGCCGACATTAAATATCACTACGTATTTTATTGTATACATTCTTATACATTTATTTGATTATGGGATATAAAATATGTTGTTTGTTTATCTATAAAATACACGACATATTGGTCTAAATTACATATATAAGACATTCTATTTAAATATATATTTTCGTTTTAGAAGAATTATTTGCGAGGATGTAATATTTTGAAATAGAGTAGACTTTCTTGTTTTGCTATTTGTATATATTTTTAAGAAAATTGTAAATTACCTTTGTTGCTATGAAAAATACTTCTTTTTAGATATTCACAAACAAGTTAAAAGTAATGAAGAATGCATTTTAATATGTTTTGTATGCTTATGGTCATTTCTTTATTTTTCTATTTTTTAGTAACAGGACAATATTGCTATATTTCCTATAATTACAATATTAGGTACATAAATATTTTTATAACTCGCAGAAGTATACATAATCATAGTCATATACAGATAATATTAAAAGCCATAAATAGTATACAGTTTTAGGTCAAAGAGCAAAATTGGTCAGACGACTTATCTACAGAGAAGATGTCTAGAAATAGTTGTATATATATAGGTCATAGACAGACACAAAATATAATATATTAGAGGTATATTAGATATGATTTCAAAATATACATTTTTGGGCAATAGACTACAGTATAAGAAGAAATATATTAAAAAGTTTTAACTTTAATTTTGTCTATAACAACTCCTTTGACGTCTAAGCAAACCCCATTAAAAAAAACTCCCGAGTCTTTGGTAAACGTCAAAAAATGGCGGGAATATATTGGCGGGACAAGATGGCGGCTTTATTCTTCTTCTTCGTTCTGGTAGCTCACGTAACGGACTGATGATTTTTCGCTTATTATTAGGCTCTGAAAATAAATGATTTATTTTAATTAATTAGTAAGTAATTATTATGCAGATTCAATAGTACCTACGTACTCAGTTAAATCCTCGAGTCAAAAATTATACTCAACCCAAAATGGTAACAATACTACTACTAATGGGTCCTTGCCAACTAGTCAAATTCAATCATTTTTTCGAACTTGCAAAAACGACAGTTTTCTATGAATTTTGTACGAGATTGTGTATCTATTGTGACGTCACGTTTTTTAGCGACAAACAGCATAACTATTTCTTAAAAAATTGCTGAAAAAATATTAAAATTTAGTTCGTCAAAAGCCAATTAACTTAGGTGTGTTTATTTTTTAAAATTGTATTGTATTGAACAGTCGAAATAATGTATTTTTGATTAAGGTAAGTATCCAATTGTTATCTGTGGTTAAATTTTTGTTCGGTAAGTAACTAGAGGTGCTGTAGAAAGTGACATAACAAAACATCGTCGCTATCGGATATCGATAAACACTATGATTAATTAAACAGTACAAAATTCGATTTATGCAATGGACAGTATTCTGTATTGGTTGGAGTCTGTAACTCCTCTGGTGTCCATGGGCGGTGCTGATTGCTTACCATCAGATGATCAAATCAAATCAAATCATTTATTTGCTAATATGAGTGAATTAAGTTGTTAGCAGATAAGTAGATACAGTTCCGACCATATTACGCTTTGAGGCATGCAAATTATAAAAATTACAGCATCCCAATGTTATTCGGAAAAAAAATACATTCTAAATTCAAACTATCAACACAATCATCGTAATAAATATAAACAAGTGAATTCAAAATATAATGTCACCAATTTAATTAAAAATTTAATGTCAATAAATGTATTTGTCAATTAAAATGTCATGAATTAGATTAAATAAAAATGTCATACAAAAGACAATGCCTAAAAATGTGTGGAATCGGTTTACATATCCTATCATTGTCCGAGTGGTCTCGGGTTCGATTCCCGGGTCGGGCAAAGTATTACTGGGTTTTTCAAAAAAATCCCAGTAGTAGCACGGAGTCTGGAATTGTGCCCGGTATATGGCAATAGGCTCACCCCCTATTACATGGGACTCATAACATAAATAGTGAAAAGTGGGTGTTATATTGTACAGTGGCATAATGTACACCTCTGCCTACCCCTTCGGGGATAAAAGGCGTGATGTTATGTTATGTTATATCCTATCAAATGCATGTAAAACTTACAAACTTAATAAAAAATAACTACTTAGTGATATTTTACATTGCTCTGCCTGCGTCTCGCCCTATCATTATCATGCATACAGCAGGTTAGAAGTGAACTGCATACAGCGACAGCCTGTGACCTTAGCCAGTTCGCCAAAAAAAAATATTGTACCTGTTTTTCATCCCTGGCCGGTGGTGACCTCAGGAACAGAAGACAGGGAGCGTACCCGAAGTTGAGCACTGCTATTATGACCAGCATCCATTCGAAGCCGATGCTGTTCATCAAGGCTCCTGAGAGTGCCGGTCCTGGAGGAGCAGATGCAATGATTAAGAATGTAATTCCTCTTCTCCCCAATCCTCAAATGCTTAACCCCCAAAAGGTTGGTGGTGTTCCAGGCGGCGCCGATTGCTTACCATCAGGTGATCCGTCTGAGTCTGTCATTATTTACATGTCTAACAAGCAGGTTGGGATCACAATTTACAGGTGTCAAAGATTAGATAGATAGAAGATAGATTTGTTTATCAAAGATGTATTAGTGTGGGAGAGCCATGCTTCGGCACGAACGGGCCGACTCGACCGGAGTGATACCACGGCCGAGCAGAAAACTATAGTGAAACAAAGCTTGCGTTGTGCTTCGTGGGAGTGAGGTTACCGGAGGTCCAATTACCCTTCTCCCCTCCCCAGTCTCCTCAATCCCTAAATCCTCGAATTTCCATTTTCCAATCACCAAAAGGCCGGTAACGCACTAGTAACGCCTCTGATGTTCCAGGTGTCAATGGGCGACGCCGATTGATTACCATCAGGTGATCCGTCTGCTCGTTTACCAGCTTATTCCATAAAGATAGACCGCAGCAGTCCGGTTTCTGCCAAATATGTAATCCCTTATCTTTTGATTTATTTTGTAAGACAAGATTAAGACAATTGTTCATGTCCCTGACACGTTGGACTTCAGTGTTTCGGTGTTTGCATGCTTGTATCTACTGTAGATCCTAAGGCACAGGAGTTGCAGCGGTTTTGAAAAGTTGTGGCTGGCTTGTCCCAATAAAAAAATGAACCGTCTTAGCCTGGTCTACCACACTAACACGAAGAGCTGCGGTGGTATTATCTAAACTTACCAACAGCGTATCCTAGACAGAAAGCGGTGTCTCCTATAGCGTATACAGATCCGTAGACAGCAGCGTGACGGATGTCCACCAGGAATCCAAGTTCTGGCATCATTGAGGAGTCTACCATGCCAATAGCGAAGCCCAGACCAGCGTTGGGGATAATCAGGTGTTCCAGTTTGCGAGCCATGGGGATCTGTAGGAAAAAATCGGGTCATATCATCCCAAACATCATCAGCCCATGACCAAATGGCCACTGCTGACCAAAGACCTCTTCTCACACGGAGAAGGTTTGAGCATTAATCTCCACGCTTGCTCAATGCGGGTTTGGTGATTTCAAACTTATAATTAGAAATTATAAGCCCAGGTTTCCCCATGCTGTTTTCCTTCAAGGTATGTCAGTGGTGTCTAGATAATCTAAGAAAGTATACATAACTCGGAGAAAGTCACATTGGTACTTGCCGTTAGTAGGTATCGGAACTGCACAGTCGTGTATGAGAAGCGAGTTATTTAAAACATAGATTTATAAATAGATTTAAAATCTCTGGGCCACCACGACGTTTTTAAAATCGAGTAACTATCATGAACAGTTTACCAACAGGCTGTAATAATCCTCTGCTGGATTATGAGCATCCTCTACATAAGAAGAATTTGCCATAATCTTTGACTTGTGATTTTCTTACCAGGATAAGACACAATCCAATGATGATAAGGCCAGAACAAGCCGCCAGCCATCGCCCCATCTTGTGTCCAAGAGGCCCAAACAGATTCGTACCTAGAAACAAAACATTCATGTCACATTAAAAATTAGGTATAATACCAACCAAACCTTTTTTAATGGGACAAGCCCACCACAACCTCCCAAAACTGCTGCAACTCCTATAAGCCAGGTTTTATAGTGAATACAACCGTAAAAACACTGGAAAACTGAAAACCGGCGCGTCCCAGGGACATGAATAATTGTCTTGGATTGACCAAGACCTTTTTCAATGGGACAAGCCCATCACAACCTCCCAAAATCGCTGCAACTCCTGTAAGCCAGGATCTAGAGTGGATACAACCATAAAAACACCGGAAAACTGAAGTCCGGCGCGTCTCAGGGACATGAATAACTGTCTTGATCAATCACCTGGGTCTGCTGACAACTTAATGGGTTACCTTGGCTTTGGCTCAACGGAGTAGGAACGGGGTAGTGTTAACTCAATAAGAGTATGACACTTCCTCTCGCCTCATACAAAGCGGGAGCTTAGGACCTTAATGAATATCTTCCGTAAAAAAAATTACGTAAAATACCACTCTTGCATCGGGATACTCATTTATCCGACTTCAATAAACGGAGAAGGGTCTGCAACCGTATGTTTTATGTTTTGAATGGAGGGTCATGCTTCGGTAGAAATGGACTGGCTTGACCGGAGTGAACCACGGCCTCACAGAAAACTTGCGTGAAAACTCAGTTGCATTGTTTCATCGTGTGAATCATGTTCCTGGAAGCCTCTCCCTCCCCTCCATCCTTCAACCGCAATCTCTAATCCCCAAATCCCAAAAACTTCAATTCCATATAAGGCTGGTAACGCACTTGTCACTCCTCCAGCGTTGTGGGTGTCCATGGGCGGCTCCGATTGCTTACCATCAGGTGATCCGTCTGCTTATTTACCGCCCTGTTGACTTACCGATCAAATAGCAGATGCTGGCCGGTAAGAAGGCGACTCCTTGCTGCCAGCGTCGAGCTTCCATAGTGTCAGCCATCCAGATTGGAAGACTTGGCTCCAGCATCGCAATGCCCACGTTCGCAAAGGTGATGGCTCCTGGAAAATGAAACATATATAAAAGTGACTGACTGGCAGACAATGCACAGCTGAAACTACTCGACCTTGGAAGCTGCAACTTAGCATGTATGTTTCTTAAGGAGTGTAGGGGAGCACTAAGAGAGGATCCCATATAATTGATATGGTAGATATGGCGCTAGCTACGCCCCTCGCCCTGCGGACTCTCCGTCCTCGTACCGGCCGACGAGGTGGGAAAAGTTTTCGAAAGGATCGTTTCGAACAGCCTCGTCGCGCACCTGTCGGATGTTGGGCCGAACCTGTCGGACGGCCAGTTCGCCTTCCGCAGAGGGCGCTCCACGGTGGACACCATCATGCGAGTTAGAGACCTCACGACGGGGACTGCAGTGTCCAGCGGTAAAGTCGTTGTAGCGGTGTCTTTGGACATCGTTAACACCTTCAACTCTCTGCCCTGGAGCTGCTTTTTGGAGGCACTCCGATATCATCGGATGCCTAGTTATCTCCGTCGTGTAATCGAGGCCTACCTGACACCTCCTGAATACACTCTTTTCTTGAAGGTTTGAAGGTCGTATCGGTTCGGAAATACTGCCGACGACAGATCATTCCACAATTTTACTGTGCGAGGCAGAAAGCTACGTGAGAAGCGATCGAAGCGACGATCTATATGGTGGGGATGCATATTCATGCACAACTTAAAATTGACTAGCCTATCAGTATTTGGGCGTATGACTATCAGATAGACTTCTTTGACAACTCAGTGGTATGAAACGATAGAATACAGACCTGCCGCAATGAGAATGTAAGGATCAGAGACTAGGGCCTTGAGAGACGGTGGCTCCGACTCCTGGCGAACCACTCCTGGTTGCAGGATCATCAGCTGAAGCACTGTGAGAAGAAATAGGTCATTATAATAAGTGTTCTGACATAACACATAACATAACATAACTTCACGCCTTTTATCCTCGAAGGGGTAGGCAGAGATGCACACAGAAGTAACACCCACTTTTCACTATTTATGTTATGAGTCCCATATAAAATGGGGTAAGCCTGTTACTGCCATATACCGGGCACATTTACAGACTCCGTGCTACCACTGAGATTTTTTTAAAACCCAGTAGTATTGTGCCTGACCCGGGAATCGAACCCGAGACCCCTTGCCCGGCAGTCGCACTTGCGACCACTTAGCCAACAAGGCAGTCTTATTTATCAGTGTTATCAAATTAAGATTATTTTTTCGTTCGAACAGTGGCTATATGACAAGTCGGAATTATATTACTGTTTATAATTATTTTATCTGCTAGAAGTGATATACCTACAAGATAAACGTATTTATGTTTAAAATAAGGATTGTTTACATTGCACATTTATTTATAGATTAGTGGTCAATTTTATTTGGTTGGTGCTAACGACCTGTGGCGCCCTCATCGATTTTCACGATTAAATAAATGAACTATAACTATAATTGGGATGATGACAGGGTATGAAAATTAAAAATCTAATTAGTCCGTCAGTTAGGTAATGAAAAAATATTAGACACGTATTTTTTTATTTCGTTATATAATTAAATAATACATAGATAAAACGAACCAAAGTTTAGGAGTGGGGGCTTAAACGTTATTTCTACGTATAAAATGTACATAGAAGTGACGTCACGCGACATTTCAAATCAATATATTGTCGAAAGTATTAATTTCTGTAAGAAAATAAAAAATACGTGTCTAATGATTTAAAATAATCTACCAGACGGACATTAAAACAAAAATTAGGCATCTACCCTATTGCGTTACATTATCCACGTGTTCGACTAGAGATATTATCTCATTACTTTGTATCAAATACCTCGACAACACTCAGTTACCGCCTACACTCGATTGAAGCACGGAAGTGTAAAATTGTAGACATTGCTAGAATGAAATACGAGTAATTCATAACTAGGTATAGGAATTCTCAGTAGTATTACCGAGTCTGGAATTGTACCCGGTATATGACAATAGACTCACCCCATATTACATGGGACTCATAACATGAATAGTGAAAAGTGGGTGTTACATTGTACAGTGGCATTAAGTGCCGTAATGTGCACCTCTACCTAATCCTTCGGGGGTAAAATGGCGTGATGTTATGTTATGTGGTATAGGTAGTCTAGAATTACCTACAGCCCTTGAGTTTTCTTTTTTTTTCGATAAAAATGTCGATTTAAACATGGTATTCCACTTTTTTTACCTATCAAGGTTCTTTTTTATATTTCACTAGCGACCCGCCCCGGCTTCGCACGGGTGCAATATGCATGATATAAACCTTCCTTAAGAATCACTCTATCTATTAAAAAAACCGCATCAAAATCCGTTGCGTAGTTTTAAAGATACATACGGACATACAGCGAAAGTTTCGCTTTCACTTTGTTTTATACTATGTATTGATAGGTCGATCTTTGACCACCACCTCGTGGCTGCTTTGCTGGTAAGCGATGATGCGGTCTACAACGGAGCACGCCATCCCATAAGCAACCTATTCACTCTGGCCTTGAAGACACCCTTAAGGAAATCCTTACAGTACAGACAGACTCTGGCAAAGAATTCTAAAAAAGGAAACATTGGTGACTATTTTTCCGGAATAATTTTACCATGCCAGTATCACTCAGATGAGTTGAGAGTTCACCGTATCCAAATTTTAGAAAGTATATACCATCATGCCTTTTATCCCCGGGGGTACACAGAGGTGAACATTACAGCACTTAATACCACTGTACAATTAAGTACAATGTAACGCCCATTTTTCACTGCTCATGTTATGAGTCCCATGTAATAGGGGGTGAGTCTATTGCCTTATACCGGGCACATTTCCATACTCCGTGCTACTACTGAGATTTTTTTCTAAAACCCAGTAATACTTCGCCCGAACCCGAAACCCCTTGTCCGGCAGTAGCACTTGCGACCATTCGGCGAGGCAGTCAGCAACAGGCATTTAAAAAGTACTAGCTTTTACCCGCGGCTTCGCTCGCGTCACAAAAGGATAAAAAGTAGCCTATGTGACATATACCAATACACACAGCGCCATCTATACCAATACTTTTGTTTTCCCTCGGGAATATCAAATTTTTCCGGGTTAAAAAGTACCCTATTATTTAATCCGGACTTCTAACATTACGTCTGCAAAAATTCAAAGCAATCGGTTTAGTAGTTACGGCGTGAAAGCGGAACAAACAAACAAACAAACTTACTTTCCGATTTATAATATTATATAGTAAGGATAAGGATTAGATAAAAAGTAAATAAATACGTACATCCATCACCCAATGCCAAAGCGGAGAGCATCAAGAACGGTGCGGTCTTCCCAACAAACTCGTACATGAGACCGCCAAACGGTGGCCCTATGAGCACTCCCAGCGCAAGTCCACCTAGAGCGATACCCATCGCGTTGCCACGTTCCTGGGAACAAAATCACATTTAAGAAATCTTTCCGGAAGGCCTACCGAGCTGCCGGGGCTTCGGCTCGAAGACCAGGGTGCTTACTCTTGAAACCAATCTCATTGTCAATGCAATTTCAATCCAATCAAATCTCAATAATTATTCAATGTCAAAACTATACAACCACAATCGTAGCTATTAAATTAGCATTCAGAGTACGGAATATAAACCCAAACTCAATACCATTTAGTTCATTCAATATCCACGCAATACGGATGCAATGGGCGCTAGTGTTGCAACTCAAGAGTACGAAAGTTGACAATACCAATGTCGATCGATCGGAATTGGATTCCAGAGTAAGCCCCCAGGAGTAGGAACGGGGTGATTTTTAGTCAGTAAGTGTCTGACACCCTCTCGCCTAACCCAAGGCGGGAGAAGTCATTGGATGATTTTCCCCCTTCCAAAAAATGAAAATCCAGTATTTTCTCCTGTGTCGTGGGTGCGTTTACAAACATACGAGGTCATATACACTTGACACCCAGACTCAGAACAAGAATCTGTTCACAGAAAGAGTTGTTCCGTGTGGGAATCGAACCCGCGACACATTGCGCGGCAGCCAGTTGGCCAGCCACCGCGCCGACTGTGGAGTCAATCTGATGGTGGTAACCTGATCAACAGTTCGCAACAGTTCATTGATAGACTGAGACCTCTTCTACATAAGACGGTCCGCCATAATTTTAAAAGGAGTAACGCTCTATTCTTGAATGTTTGAATTTCGTCTCGGTTCATAAATAGTATGATGGTCATATATACAAGGTGTAGTTTTGAAATCGTCTCGGGGGCATGTCACAGAAGTCCTACAGGTTCAATGTAAGAGAAAGTTTCGGGCCAATAGTTAAAAATAAGGTTATAGTTCGACAGTATTTCAGAATGAGCGACAGCAATGTTTCTTATTAGAATTTTATGGAATTAGGAATAATATAAATTACGCGTTTGAGTTAGTGTGTGTTGAGCCGCGTTATAAAGCTAGTTACAAGACGGTGGCGTGTAGTTCGCACTTACGGATTTCCGTAATTTACAGAAAAATGAAAGATATTTACCTACAATTTTTTTTATTGATTCGAACTTAGAATCGATCGCCGAGTTACCTCCTAGATAATGACGCGGCTTTAAAACAACACCTTGTATATTATTCAACAATTTTACTGAACAAGGCAGGAAGGTTCGAAAATCGCAAAGTCATCGTGTGCTAACCACTACTAACCATCTGAATGTCGACTGCATCGAGATATAAGTACTAGAGAAGCTACGTCACTTGACCTGTCCTATTCTCCGTAATTTGAATCTCTAGTTCGTTGCAGCGCTAAAATAATAATTCATCTAAACCGTAACGAATTTACCACAGCGCTGAATTTGCTGCGGAAGTGTATTTATTCTCGGCAACAAGGTCTTAAGCGCCATGTATTCATATATTTTTTTATATATTTGATGGGCCGACGTTTGACGACTATCTCACCTGGTGGTAAGTGATGATGCAACCTATTCACTCGGGCCTTGAAGACACCCAGGTTATACCCTTCAGGAAATACAGACTCTGGCAAAGAATTCCACTCTTTAGCAGGATATTACAGCACTTACGTGTTTTCTTCAACAAAGTGAGTGAGGTGCGACGACGGTGCGGCGCGATCGCCGCAGTTGAACGAGACAAAGTAGGAATTTACGTTGTCATCTCTAGTATGTTAGTACTTCTATCTCGATGGTCGACTGACTTGTGTAGAGGAAGCTCATAGTCTACCAGGCATTAATGATGTTGACATACAATAAATAAGGCATGGGACAACCCCGCCACAGCCTCCAAAAACTGCAACTCCTCTGCACCAGGATCTACAGTAGATAAGACCATGCATACACCGGGACACTGAAGTCCAACGTCCCAGGGACATGAACAACTTTCTAAGATCTCGCAAAGAAATAAATCAGAAGATATTGTTAGAGGATAAGAAAAATGGTATATTATGCTTACCTTATCATCAGGGTATCTTTCAGCCAGCATACCCATACCGGAGACAGAGGAACAGGATGATCCTATGCCCTGCAGCGCCCGGGCAATGAAGAGCACTGAATATGAACGGCCGAAGGCGAAGACTAGGAACAAAATTATATTATTTTATAATATTGAAATTATTTATACCTGATTTACAAAATTCCACCCTGGATATATATGTATATTTATCTATGTTTTGTATTTAAGCTAATATTTAACGACGCTCCCAACCAAGAACTCGGTAATGTGCTATTATCGGGTTTATGCTGTTATGTCAATTTCGGCGCGTATGGACTTGAATACACCTTGACAATTTTTCTCAGATTTTTCCTAATAATAGTTACAAAGATATCATGACGCACATGTTTATTGTTGGGAATTAATACACAATAATATCTCGGCAAAAAACATGTTATACATCTGTACGAAAAAACAATTTATATTTTATTTTGGTAAGTTGCGATTACCGGGTTATTGCCGTAAATAATTTTCATGAAGATTTAGGTTGTACGTGTGTACGGGGTTTTTGTTGAATTCATTGTAAAATACGTATTCCGTAATACACACTAACAATGTTATTGAAGATTGGTATTGGCTCATTAATGTACGTAATATTTTATATTACGTACATTAATGAGCCAAAGTTATTGTGGTAATTTAAATAATATTTGAAATTACCACAATAACTCCGTAAAAACACGTTATGTATCAGCCCCACGATAAAAAAAACCCCGTAGAAGTCCATAATATAATGTTATGAAATATTTCATTTGATAAATTTACTGCAATAATCCCGTAAGTACTATTACCATAATATTTTATGTATAAAATTTTAGGTATTATTTATTTTCCTAAATTACTAGGTATTTAATAAAAGGAATGTCATTTTAATGGCACAGGTATATTCCGCAAAAAAATAGCTTTCATTTAACACATCAATGACTTCAATAGTCCCACTCGTTGAAAAGGTATTTGATAAAATCAGTAAATCTTTTCTCCTGTAAAATTTTGATTTATCGATTACTGGGTTATTGTTTGGAAGCGTCATAAGCTGTGTTTTTATAATAAGTATCGTGAGACATACTAAATTAACTAAAACTCGCGGGTTACTCACGTGAATATATTGAGAAAAGCTCTACTAGTTTCGAGTCACAGAGGGGTTCTTCTGTACCTACACAGTCTACAATAGGTTGCGTGACAACGTCGCAGCCTACGACTCGCCACAGAGACGGCAACATCGCGGCATATCAAGTGTGGGAGAGCCATGCTTCATGCTTCGGCACGAATAGCCTCGGCTCGGCTCGACCGCAGTGACACCACGGCCTCACAGAAAACAGTGAGGTTACCGGAGGCCCAATTACTCCCCTCCCTAGTCCCCCTCTCCAGAATCCCCAAATCCTCCACAATCATCAAATTCCCAATTTCCAAAAGGCCGGTAACGCACTTGTAACGCCTTGGTATTTCAAGTGTCCATGGGTGGCGCCGATTGCTTACCATCAGGTGATCCGTCTCCTCGTTTACCGGCTTATGCTATAAAATATATATATATATATATATCACGGCAGCGCGAGGAGTAGCGATGAGCAGCGTAAGGAACATAGTCTGGCAGGCGCATTAAGTTCCACCACAGATGGGGCCTAACAGGGCTGATGCCGATACGGAGCCGCGGAAGACTTAACGGGTTGCCGGGGCTCCGGCTCGAAGTGCAGGAGTAGAAACGGGGTGGTTTTTAGTCAGTAAGAGTCTGACACTCCCTCCCGCCTCACCCGGGCGGGAGAAGTCATTGGATGATTTTACCCCCTCAAAAAAAAGGCGCATTAAGTTCATTTCTGAAAGTTATACGTACTTAGGGTGGACAGGAACATGAGGATAAACCCAGTGAACATTGGTATACTGTAGCCGATCCTGTAACAAAATACATTTCAATTTCAACATAACATTAGGGGGTAGACAGAGGTGCACGTTACGGCGCTTAATGCCACTATACAATGTAACACCCACTTTTCACTATTTATGTTCTGAGTCCCATGTAATAGGGGGTAAGCTTATTGCCATTGCCGCAATTCTAGACTCCGTGATACTACTGAGATTTTTTTTTAAACCCCAGTAATACTTTGCCCGTCCCGGGAATCGAACCCAAGACCCCTGGCAGTCGCACCTGATACCCCATCCACACGATTGATGTTTGCCACAAATAAAAAAAGTGAAATTTTCGGTGTAATTGGAATGATGACGGGGTATGAAAATTAAAAATCTAATTAGCCCGTAAGTTAGGTAATGAAAAAATATTAGACAAGTATTTTTTTTATTTTGTTGTATAATAAAACAATCTATATATATAAAAGAAAGTCGTTTTAGTTACACCACTTATAACTCAAGAACAGCAGAATAGATTTGGCTGAAAATTGGTAGGGAGGTAGCATAGAGCCAGGAGACCGACATAGGATACTTTTTAACCAATACTTCTTTTTTACTTTTTACCGAAAACCACGAACGGGGACGGGAAAAAATGGGATTACGCGAACGAAGTCGCGGGCAGAAGCTAGTACTTAGATAAAACGTTTCAAAGTTTAAGAGTGGGGCTAAAACGTCATTTCTACGTATAAATGTACATAGAAGTGACGTCACGCGACATTTCAAATCAATATATCGTCGAAAGTATTCGTTTCTGTAAGAAAATAAAAAATACGTGTCTAATGATTTAAAACAATCTACCAGACGGACTTTAAATTAAAAATTAGGCATCTACCATATTAAACAAAATGAATAACATTTTAACTTACTTGTGAGTTAGTGGGCCAACGAAGGGGTTAGCGAGGAGTTGCACCAGCGCTTTACTGGCGAACATGACTCCAACTGCCACCGTCTCATGGATCAACTCCTGATGTCTCTCCTCTCGTTGTGCCGTGAGGTTTACTGAAACAAAGCATAACTTACTCTTTTTTTCGTAAGACTAATTGTATTCGGAGCCGAGACGTGGACACTAACAGTGCGACTGGTCCACCAATTTAAGGTAGCGCAGCGAGCTATGGAGAGAGCTATGCTCGGAGTATCTCTGAAGGATAGGATCCGTAACGAGGTGATCCGACAGAGAACTAAAGTTACCGATGTAGCCCAAAGGATTAGCAAGCTGAACTGGCAGTGGGCCGGTCACATTTGTCGAAGAACCGATGACCGCTGGGGTAGACGTGTTCTGGAGTGGAGACCACGTCTAGGCCAACGTAATGTAGGGCGCCCTCCAGCTTACGTAAAGTGGCTGGTAGTGGTTGGATGCGTAGAGCTGAAGACCGAGCTCAGTGGCGTGCCATTAGAGAGGCTTATGTCCAGCAATGGACGAAAACAGGCTGATGATGAGAATTATATTAATCGACTTCAAAAGAAAATGGGGATTTCAGTGTGACTTGTATGTACGGTCAAAGGTCAAAAGTCCACTGCCATCGTAAGACTACTATCGGTTGCGCTGCAGCGCTTATACACACATGCACACGTATATTTTTATCCGTGTGCGTACGCGTGCGTGTGTTTATGCGTACGCACACGTTTTTATGCACATTAATATGAAATTACTTACGCATTGCCGTGTGAACATCACTCACGGTGGACTTTTGACCTTTTACATATGGATTTTGTCAACGATTATCTCGGGATTGGCTGAACCGATTTTGATTCGAATTTAGGAAAAGTTGTTGGTACGCTTAGGAACAGGATTAGTATATTAATCGTCTTCGAAAAATGAGTAAGTAGAGGTTGTTTTGTTATAAATGATAATAATTATCATGACTGCCTCGTTGGCCGAGTGGTCGTAAGTGCGACTGCTGGGCAAGGGGTCTCGAGTTTGATTCCCGAGTCGAGCAAAGTATTACTGTTTTTTTTTAATTCTCAGTGGTAGCACAGAGTCCGGAATTGTGCCCAGTATATGGCAGTAAGCTCACCCCCTATTACACGGAACTAATAACATAAATAGTTAAAAGTGCATGTTACATTGTACAGCGGCATTAAGTGCCGTAAATAATGTGCACCTCTGCTTACCCCTTCGGAGATAGAAGACGTGATGCTATGTTTGTATGTTAACATCTTGATTTCGACCTTTACTTTCGACCTTTACTTTCGACCTTTACTTTCGACCTTTACTTTCGACTTTTACTTTCGACTTTTACTTTGATTTTGATCTTCTTGTTTTTTGTTCTAAAGTAAATAGGTACTTACGTGTCTGTGTATCATTTTGTATTATGCTGGTAGTGTTGGGCTGCATACAAGGGCAGTACGGAGTGGGGGAGGGAGGGGCTAGCGTGATGTCCTCCAGCGACATCGAGAGCGGAGCGTCTGGGTGTCGGATGTCGTAGAGAAACTCCGGTATTATTGGTACTGAAACAAATAATTGTAATTAAAACATCATACATAACATCACGCCTTTTATCCCGAAGGGCTAGGCAGAGGTGCACATTTTGCCACTGTACAATGTAACACCCACTTTTCACTATTTATGTTACGAGTCCCATGTAATAGGGGGTGAGCCTATTGCCATATACCGGGCACAATTCCAGACTCCGTGCTACTACTGAGATTTTTTTAAAAACCCAGTAATACTTTGCCCGACCCGGGAATCGAACCCGGGACCCCTTGCTCGGCAGTCGCACTTGCGACCACTCGGCCAACGAGGCAGTCTAATTAAAACCAAAGAAATATTAAACATTGGTTCGGCTCCACTGGACAATACTCAAATGTAGTCAGTAGTTAGATTCCAATAGTAGGTAATATAATAATTTAATACTTTCATTCTAATGTAGACAATCTAGTTTCCTTATGGCATCGAGCATTTCTTTCTTTATTGAAGCAAAGAGTTTCCTTTTTCTTGTATAGAAGCAATATTTTTATAGATTGTCAGAATGCAAATATGTTAGACTATAGAGGTAAGATTTTTTTTAATTTTAGTAAGTTTTGTAATTAGTATAATGCGTCAAGCGTGTCTTTGCATTGTTCTCACATATACATACAGTGTTGGAATATGTATCAGAGACATTGTAGAACATACTTTTTTATTTTTTATTTGTTAACGTTTCAAAAGTACCAAGATATGGTTTAACTCGTCGAGTACCGGTTTTGTAGACACAATTATAGAACAATAGGTTGCGGTCACCGGTGACCGCTTGGTGTTTGACAGTTTAACTCGTTGAGTACCGTCATTATAGACACAATTATAGAACAATAGGTTGCGGTCACCGGTGACCGCTTGGTGTTTGACAGTTTAACTCGTCGAGTACCGGTTTTGTAGACACAA